GCTTTAGCCCAAGCCTCTGATCTGTTTCTTAATGTGGTTGTCAATTACATGGAGTGTTTAGTTCATCAAAAGTGACCTACCTCTACACAACTCATACATGCATGTTAAAAATATACATTTTAATGTATAAGGTATGTGTTGCATATTTACACAATGGTGTATTACTCCATCATAAAGAAAAACAAAATCCTGACACAGGCTGCCAAATGGATGAATCTCAAAAACATTAGATTGAGTTCAAGAAACCAGGCACTAAAGGTCACTTATTGAATTGTTCCATTTATGTGAAAAATGACGACTTGACAAATCTATAAAGATTGAAAGCATTTTTAGGGTTACTGAGGGCTGGAGAAATGAAAGGAAAGGATGGGGGTGAGACTTAATGGACATGGTTCGTAACCATTCAGGGTGATGGAAATGTCTTGGAATTTGGTAGGGGTGATGGTTGCACATCATGACTGTATTAAATGCCATTGAATTTTTCAAGTTAAGATGATTAATTGTATCTCTTGTGAATTTTGCCTCAAAAATTAAAATGTATATTCTGTCTCAATTTTTAAAACTTAAAATTATATGAAGGAAACATTCAAGTTCCATAAGAATTTAGCTAACTTGCCAAGGTGATTTTATTAGCAGTTCATCAGGATCTTGGTTTCAGTGCAAACTTTTCCCTACAGAAACCCTCCTGGTTCCCCATCCAGAAGAATTAGCAGTGTATTCATCACCACTGAGCATTGGCTGAGCCTGTACTCAGAAAACAGAATCATCCGCATGGAACAGAGATCAAACATTTATTTATCAGATCAGTCAGGACTGAAAGAATGGGATTCTATTTAGAGAGGCAGTTAATGAATCTGTAACTTCTTCATCTTTGAAATCATCATGGGTTTTCTAAGTACTGTGGAGGAAAAAAGAGAGATTGGAATCACAATTATTCTCACCTTTCAAGGGTCAGGGTCATATCTGTCTACCTCTCTGAGGAATCATCTTTGATCTCTGCCCATGGGAGATCTGGTCTACTGAAATGACTAATTAGTATGAGTCCACACAACAAAAGGACAGAGGGCCTTAAGAGATCAGTGACCTAAAAAGGGTGTGTCCGGAACATCAGTTCTGGGCAAACAAGGAGTTGAGTAGTTTACTTTGGGACTTTAGGTCTGTTACAGATTTTTATCTAGTGTCCCCAAACTAACAAACATCTTTATCCATTAACTCACATTTAATCACAATGGGGCTGGAGAAAAGGAACAAAGGTTATGCAGTCCCACATCATGAGCAGTGTTACAATGTTATTGAAAATAACATGGGTAACATAAAATTTAACACACAAGCATGCATGCACATCATGTGCACATCCTTTGACCTAATGACTTTATGCAGCTATTCCAATGAAAATTAAAAAAAAAAACAACCCACACACTTCCTCAAAGCTCAACCTGGAAAGTAATATGAATATAAAATATTTAAAACAATCATATTATGCTTCAGCTAGGAAATAGTATATCATATGGAATTTGGTGTAAGCATGATAAAAGTTGAAGTGGCCTTACACATGCACATGGTAAATCTCATAATGTATATATTTACATAAAGATGAGGTCAATGGAGCTAGTGTAATTAATTATATTTTAAATTACCTTAAATATATTTGTGTACATGTAATTCATAAAATAAACCAGGAATACACACTCCAAATGATTAGCTGTACTTTCTTCTGTAAGAGGAAAGAGAGAGAAAAGCAGGGAAATAAGAAGAAAAGCTAACATTTTACTCTTCCAGATATGTGCTGCTTCCATGTTTAAAGGGGTATTTATTCCTGTACTCATTGTGGAAATCAACTATTAAAAATAAAAGCAATGGGCACACTATTACAAATATTAAACAGTATATAAAGATATACTAGAAATGTCAAAACTTGCTAACAATGTAGTATACGTGGCGACTGTCAAGTCTGAGATTTATTCTTTCCATAGAAACACAAATTTAACAACCATACATGGACCATAATACCTCTGTGAGAAACCTACAATCAAGTAAAGAAATTAAAACAGCCTGAACACCATGACAGCAATAGCAACCATTTTGAAACAAGTACAAACAATACCTTTATTTTTCCCACATCTCTGCCTTCTATAAATCAACACACTTCAGAGCTGAGAAATATTCTTGGCCAAGGGGAAGTGTACTAATCATCTTTCCCAGTGCTAAGATAAAATACCTGATACCAGCATCTTAATTGAGGAGATGTTTATTTTGGCTCATGGTTTCAGTAGGTTCAGACCATGGCAGGCTGTCTCTTCCACACACACACAAAAATGATAGAAAGGTCTGATGGAGGAAAACTATTCACATCATGTCAGCAGAGAGAGATGGGAGGAGCTGGGGATGAGAATCCACCCTTCCATGTCTCTTTGCCTCCCACTTGCCATGAGGTGGAGGAGCTTTACTCTGGCTATGATGTACTAAATGTCATTGACTCATTTTAAATCTCTTTTTCTGAACAAAAAAGTGTAAGTTAAGGAAAGGAGAGGACAAAAGAATGGGACAGCAAATGGAAGAGAGGAAAAAATACAAGATTTTTCTGACTGTATCAGGCATTATTCTGAGTACAATAAAATATGAAATAAACCATGAAATATTTATGTCATAGATAAAAAAGCAGGCTCAGAGCGGTGAAGTACAATTAGCACTTTTGCCCTATGGGTTGTTCTTTTCAGCCACTGCACGGTATGGCTAAAGGGAAAAAAATGATAGAAAGGAAAGAAAGATATTTTAGCACTTAAAATTGACCATCCATTGTGAAGTGGAATGGTTAATCCCTCTGGAAGTATTTTCCTGATATTAGTTTGCAAAATTATTGATGATGTCATGAGTAGATCTACCAAGGGTTTCCTGTCTACTTGGCCCTTGGGAACCTCTGCTCCAATTCCACAGCCTCAGCAAATGGTCTGAAGATTGCTAATTTTCCCTCTTGCTACACTACTCTCACTTTTCTTTGATTTCCAACCTATTAATTTTGGGATTGTTCAGCTAATTATTTTGATTAACTGTTCCAATTTTTTTGGAACCTAGCAGCCAAAAAAGGAAAAAGAAGGAAGTAATGAGATATCTATTTCTGAAAACTCACACAGCCTGTGACAGTTAGTATCAGGAAGTGGATCTCTTTGAATGTGATGGAAATGAGGATGCCTCAGTGGGGGCAGGAGAAAAACATGGACCCCTGGTGCCAGGGAGGTGGTCCCAGTGTTAAAACTCACTGGAGTTGCTTGGGATGATGTCCTGAGGGAGTTGTATGCACTAGCCCAGGGGACTAGAGAAGTCCCAGGAAAATAAGAATTCAATAGACTGATCACTATTGCCAAGCACCACTGTCACCCACTCGAAAGTAATAAGTAGCTGCATTTGAATAATAGGCAACCAATAACTGAGTATGAAAACCAAAGAGTCTCCCTGGAATGTCAAGAAGAGAACCTTCAGATTAGCCCACTAATGGTTACTATTGGATGAGCTCTAGAGAAAGTTAAAGGCTCATCGAAGCTAGTTGAAGGAAGAAGTAGTTCCCTTTCAATGTATTAAACAATGCAGTTGCTCTGTGAAACCCAAATAGCTCTGAGTCATTTCTTGCGACCCAACAAGAAAGGTGAATAAAATTACTTCCCAGAGTCCCCGTGTAGGGAAGAAAAAGCAGTGCCTTGGCCTGGACTCTCAAATGACAGGCCCCACAAAAGCCCTCATCTCTGTGTCCTTGACACTGTGATTAAGGACTCCAGTGTCATTTCCAAAGGAATGGTTCTGTGAGTTTAGACCAATGCACAGAGCTGTGGTTTGGCCATGAACACTGTCATTGGCCACTACTGAGTCTGAGTTATGCTCAGGGTGTCTCCTCTTTGGTCTGCCTGGCCAGGATACTGAGACCCTCAGCATCTGTTTCCATGCATAGAATAGTAGCTTGGGTGGGGAGAGAAATGAAGAGTAAAAGTTGATGATACAGTGTGTGAAATGGGGTCATCTAATGATGCCTACTAGTAAGTGGTATTTGTCTGATGACTCCCTGGGTCAGTGGTGTTTGACACAGAGACTAGGTGTAGCCCAAGCCTGCTAAGGCTTACTTTACATATTTGTACACTAAAATGATAATTACCAACATCACATCTTGAGGTCATTACGGAGGTGAAATGGCATGTTGTGCAGGAAGTATCCAGTACGGTGTCCAGGGTATATTTAGCACTCAGGGAAATCCTTTCTACATCTATGTATTCCTCATTTTATTGTACTTTGCTATATTGTGCTTCAGAGAAGTTTCTTTTTTTACAAATTAAAGGTTTGGGGGTTTACTTGGTTGAGGAAGTCTATTGACATCATTTTCCTAAGAGCTCACAAGATTGTTAGCATTTTCCTTAGAAATGTAGTGTTTTAAAGTATGTACACTTTTAGACACAATGCTATTACACACATAACACTACAGAAGAGTAGAAATATAACTTTTATGCACACTGGGAAACCAAAAATTCTTGTGACTCCTTTCACTGAAAAATTTGTTGCCATGGTCTGGCACCAAACCAGCATTATCTTCATGGTATGTGGTGAGACCAGGGCAGACTGTTCTTTCCCTGCCTTCATCTTCTTTTCAGAAGAAATGAATTCGGCATCAGCCTGGGGACAGGGACAGATCACCCATCCAGGCACCCGCCAGGTCCAGAACCAACCTGTCACCTGTTTCTTTATGATCTGTGAGCTAATGGTTTTCTCAGTTTAAAATGGTTGACTATATCCATTTTTAAAAAGGCAAGTCATATTTGTGTGCCACTTCGAAGTTACATAAGAATAACATTCCATGATCCATAAAATACTATACTGAAGCACAGCCACGTACACCCTTTTGTGTGTTGCTGGTGGCTGCTCTTGTGCTGCAAGGCCAGAGCTGAAGATCTCTGAAAGGACATTAGGACTTGCTGAACCAGAAGTATGTAAGGTCAGGTCCTTCACAGGAAGGCCTTGCTGACAACTGGTCTGAGTCATCACCACTCAGCTAGGCCCCAAGCTTCCTCCAGCATCAATCCCAAGTGTTCCCCTCCTTGACCACAATACACCCTGTCCCGTCTTCCCCGATCACCTTACTTCTGAGGAGAACACTGCTTCCATTTTTTATCTTTGTTGTAATCAGCTGTCAATGAACACGAACTGCGATTCAAAACATAGCCTTTCTTGGTGCATTTGTGAAATACTTCTCCTCTGAAGTAGAATGGAAAGGTACAGTTTGGAGGATCTACAGAGACAGGGTGGGTGGAAGGAGAACTATAGATATAGTCTTCAGATTCATCAGTACTGAACGTATAGCATACTGTGAATTTTCAACTGAATATTTTTCAAAACTGTAAAAATTATGTAGAAAGGGTATGAACTTTGGTCTTTCTAATACCAAGAATCATACAGCCATCGCTTCTCAGCCTTTTGGCTAAGGTCAAGTGTAGCATTCGTTCTTATCAGTTTAATATCTGATACATCCTCTATCCAAGGACAATATATTAAAAGAATAAAATAAAATAATTAACTTGTTAGTTATGAGGGTATGGAGCCTTGATATTTCTGTTTGCAAATATTACCCTGGTAATTTTTTCCCCTTTTTTTCAGTACTGGGGATTGAACCCAGGACCTTACACATGATAAACAAGTAGTCTGCCTGTGACCCTTCTATCCATGAGCTGCATGCCTAGCCCTGGTTATTCTAATGAAAAATAGATAACTTGATGAAAGACTAATTTTAAAATGGCTACTTTCTGTTCTTCTTATATCTAAGTACTTAGAAGTACTTTATCTCCTAATACAAATTTTCATTTATTAACCAAATTGCACATTACCTTGAAATTAATTTGGAGGAGGGAAAGAAACATGCTCTGTGCCCAGGGAACAATAACCCTGGAGAGCTGTGCTCCTAAGAACTAATGCCAGGAGCATTCACTGTCTGGCTGTCATGTGTAAATTAAAACTCTGCTGCTTTTGTTTCTGCCCCTTTTCAGGCATTGCTTGGTCATTTTCCTGAGGTAGACTGAGGTTTATCACCTCAGTCATGTTCTAAGTTTCTGGGAGACTGGTTTTAAAGGTCTTTTGTGACTACTGGTCTAACCCTTTCTAAAAATTCTACTAAATTCAATACCAAATTAGGGGGAAAGACAGTTACTCCTTAGGCTCTTGTGTCCTCAGCCCTTGTATGTTGTGTATCTATAGTTTTCTCAAGTATGTTCTAAGCACAGAAGTATCCAAGTGTGGCCAGAATTTAAACTGAAAATGGTCTTTTAATAGCTTCTTTAAAGTTACATTTAGATGTGAATTTTGGCCCAACAGAGTGACAAACAGTGTTAAAAGCAGAGTAAGTTCAGTCAGTGTGGTATAAAATGTAGTTTGTAGAGTATGTTTGCCATTGCTGAAAATCTACCTCACCTCAGAATCTCCACTTTCCCCAGTATAAGTGCCTGGCCAGCTGTCAGAAATTACATAATTCCTTTATGACTTAGTTGTATGTGTGTGTGTATTTTCTAAGGTTGCACATTGGAGAGTGTGAAAATAAGATGTTTTGTCTGAAGGCTGCTGTGCCTAATCTGAATCTATTCAATACTGTACTTGCTCCAGTCGCTTCCTGTGGAATATTAACTTGGTAGCAGACAGTTGGTTCTGCGGGCATATAGTAAATCAAATTAATCTATTTTTGTGGGTCCCTTGTCTAAACTTTCATCATCTTTTAAACTGCTGAGAATTTTTGTTGCACTTGAAAACAAAAATAGACAGAAAATTTAAAAGAGAGATTTGTTGCTTTTTTGCCATGCCAGAATTTGTGAGCATAATCATATTTTGCTTTGTATTTAGAGTCATGAACTCTTAAGCTGCCAGCTACCAAGAACCAAAAACAGGCGCATTCTGCTTCTTGTAACTCATCTCTACTAGTACATTATAAGAAGCAAAGATAATTGGGAAAATATTTTATTTGAATGGTTTCTAGAAACAAAGGACTAATACTACATTATTTTTCATGTTTGCTGTTTCTTTAAGCAGCCTACTGTGCCACAAAATTATTTTGAAGGTATTTTTTTTTCTATAAGAATTGTTTTAAAAGTATGCTCATCAGATCAGTTTTAGATGTGTTTCAAAATACAACTGATTTTTAAAAGTCCAAGTACTGACCTGAGGGCCCGGGATTTAGCTCAGTGGTTTCGCCTCCTGCTGCACAAGCGCAAGGACCAGAGTTTGATCCCTGGTACCAAAAAATAGAAAAAAACAAGTACTGACCTGAGAAGCAAGTGTTTGAACTCTACTGTGGAGAGAAAAGAGGGCATTGCCTGACTTCTGTATTTCTGTGCCATCCAGTATACTTAAAGTATCAGTTGTGCAGTTCTCCTGTTTAAATAGGAGCTATTGGCCTCCTTGGCCCTAGATGAAAGGGCTGATATTTTAAGTTGATTATTTTAATGTAAATAAATCCATCCTAATTTTTAAAATTTGGTTGAATATTTTTCTTGTTCAATAACGTTAAAAACTAAAAACTGGAAGTACAAAAACAAGAAAAAAATGAATCATACAGCCAATGGTTGTCATCTACCCATTAGGCCCTGGGCATGTAAGCGTCCCATGGTAGCACACTCACCCATCGCAGTGCAGTACCACCACCTGCCTTGGAAGTTCCTGTCAAAAGAACACCAGGCAAAGTCACTGTGAACGGAGATGCAATTGTAGTAGAGTACATCACCATAGGTAAATGGAAAGACGCAGGATCGTATTGGAAAACCTAGAAAAGAGGAGACATGGAGAATGCAGGGCAGCTCATTCTGAGAGTAGAAATTCAAGGGTACATCGCGGTGATCCAGACTGACTGCTCTCTCATCATCTCACAGCCACATGCAGCTGGCCTCGCTAAATTATCTTTCCTGTATGCCGCAGGAAATATAAGTGAATATCTTATATTCATGTATTTCCACTCAGAGCTGGCTGCAGGCTGGAGTTGCTATCTTCCTTCTGATATAGGTCCTCTATCACTGATAGACCTGACTTTCCTAAGCCCTAACTCTGGAGTCCATCCCATTGTCTCTTGTCTCCATGACTCCTAGAAAAATAAATCTCTTACCCTGCCAAGATAGATCTTAAGTATCTCTCCGAGCTCTCTACTTCCCTCCACATTCTTTGCAACCATCTGTCTCAACTACAGCAAAAATTTATCTCTGCATGTCCCCTCCCCTATTTCTTCATCCAGCAGGGAAAATGGTCATTCTTAAATACTAACCTACACCTGCAGCTAACCCATCCCATGCCCTATCATTCTTAGGGTAACAAACAACACTGAAATGGCTCATATTCTCACCACAGAAAAATTTGGGAAAAAATGCAAAGAGGTGACAATTTCAATAGCTTTGACTTAATCACTCAATAATGTCAACAAATATCAAAACACCACATTCAACTCTATAAATACATAAAATTCATGAATAATAGGAAGAAAGGGGGCAAAGGGGAAGGGGAAATGGGAGAGGTAGGGAAAAGGAAAGAAGGGAATGGAATTAATATGAGAAAATGAAAAAATGGAAACAAGGTCTTTGTAAATAGGGAGGGGTGGAGGGGTTGAAGGGAGGGCAGGGAAATAACAAGAACCAAGAGAGACTATGTAAAGGTGCAAATTTCCAATGATGAATGTCATTATATTGTATACCTAAAATGTACCAATACAATAAAATTTTAAAAATAAAATTAACTTTCCCATTGAAAAGAAAGCTAACTACAAATGAAGAGAAAGTACACCCACACAATTGCTGACCCTAGTTGCAACAGACAAAAGTATCTTTTCTGGCAGGGCAATAGAAAACCTTGGGTTGCTATCTCAACTGTGTCATCAAACATCTGTTTTGGCTCTCCTGTGACTCAGGAGAGCCTTTCACATCAGAAGAATGACACTGGAAAGTGTTAAATGGCAGGAAGGTGTAAGAAATTTTCAGGAATCATTTGAGAGGCTGATAAATAGAGACGATCTACCTACCTGGAATCCGATGGTGTAAATGGGCAATCAAGTCTAAAAGAGAAAAAAGTGAGTTAAATTTAGGCCATGTCCTAAAATACTTCATTCCTGAAATATGGCTGCTGAAACACACCAGAGTTCACAGAGCCAACTGTTCTCTTGTTCTGGAATCATCTACATCACATCTTGGATGCCATACAGACACTTTTGAGTTAAGGGATTGTGCATCTACCCAGGAAAGCCCTTGTATTCACATTTGAGCGCTGACTCTGACTATTTTAAAGGTCTTCCTTTCAGTGAGTTAGATTAAATACACTTTGTCCAGTGTCATCCAACTTCAACCAATTCATTGAAATGCTACAGTATAACAAACAGAGAGACATTCACCAAAGAATAGTGGCATTTATGTGGGAATAGCAGGGTATTGCGATGGGAATACTGTTACTGTAGTAACTGTGGGCATATTTAAAGAAGTGAAGGTCAGGGAAAGTTACTAAAAGTCCAAACAAGGAGGATTGAATCTGGTATTTTGCAACAGTAATCCTTGTGACCAAGGATTCAAATTTACCCGTAAAATCAACATTGAACCTAACCATTGAATTTGACTTGCTTCACAACCAATTCGGTTTGCGACCAGAATCACTGAAATAATTAAGTTCATGAACAAAGATACCACTGTAGTTTGTATTTTGTTTCATTAGGATTGACATAGGAAGACTCCATTTTTATTGTGACAACCTTTCATAATTCTGAAACTCAGAGGAAAAATTCTAGCCATTACCTACCTGACAATTTCAAGAAAATAACTTGAAATGCTTGGTCAGTGCCAAAGGCTAAATGTTCCCACCAGCCTCCATGATTTTTTTACCCTTGAAGAATTTGTCTTTTCTCATGCCTGAGCTTGTTTAGGGGAGTAAGTGTTCTGTTGTACCAATTCCACTCACAAAACAGCTTTTCTTTGAAGGCATCAAATAACACTTGTTAATTAATGGTGGGTTGGCAATTTGACAACAGCTTTTGGAATGAAAAATTGTAGATCATTGATTCTTTCTTGCTCCTAAGCTACACCCAATCCCACTAATTTTATAGTCAGAAAAACGTAGGCACCATGGGACAACTGGCCTGAAGTCATGGGAACTGGGCCAATGGGAACAGTTGTAGAGGCTGACGTCAGAGGCTGCTCTGCACCACAGGCTCTTGCATGTCAGGAATGCTGCAGGGGCTCCAGCCTAGCAGCAGCACTGTACTGTCACAGCACTGTATTCGTCTGTTCTCTGATGTCAAATCCAAAGACTGGGTAAACTTTTTAACAAAACAGGTTAATTTTGGATCACTGCTCTGGAGATCCAAGCCCAAAGGGCTTCTATGGTTGATCATCTTGTTAGCTGAGTCTCAGGGTGGTGCAGGGACCATGGTTGCTTGTAAATAAGTCAGAGTCAGTCTCTCTCTTTCTCTCCCCTCATTTTCTTTCTTCTAATAAATCCACTATGACTCAATCATGCTGATTCTTTGGGGAACACATTCAAACCACACCCAGTATCCAAACCACAGTACCTGGGAAATTGCCACTTCTCTGTGCAAGGAAATTAACCCTGTGTGCTTGACTTCTGTATTTTTCATCTAAAGATGCTGATTCTTGGGTCGTTGGTATTATTATGTTCTATATTTATATACCATAATGATATCTAACTCTCAGAGAGAGGGAGACAGAGAGAGAGAAAGAAACAGGCAAAGATAGAGCCAGACAGAGACACTGAGAGAGAGACAGACAGAAACAGAGACAGAGAATACAGAAATGGAGGCTTAGAGAGTGAAACTGCACATCTAAAATCTCTGAACTAAGAGTAGTTTAGATAGTCTTCTGGCTCCAGCACCTAAGTCTATCAAAGTCCTGCTTTGAGGGTGCTGCCACCAAGCTGAACCTTCTCCAAATGCAGCTGGTAAGCAACAGTCACTTTAGACTGAAGCCAAAGGCACTGATATTTCCTTAGGGTACTGGGATGAGAGCTGCTATGGGTGAGTTTTATGCTTTCTCCAGGCACAGAGCATGTGGCTTGGCCAACGGTGCAGCTGTTCTTTATAACCTTCCATCTTTACTGTCTTTAACTTCTGTGGCTCCTTGTGGTTTTAGAGATGAGAGTGGGAAAATACATTCACTCCATTTTTTCCAGAATCTCAAGTTGCCTGCAGCATTGATTACATGCAGCTCTGTCTGGTTCCAGGGACTGAGCTGCTTTTGACCACAGTGCCCCCAGAAGCAATTCTCTGTCATTTCTTCTACTAATAATTTCTTGAAAATATCAACTTTTTATAGAATCCCTGTCACCATGATTTATGTCTTTACCACATTAGAGTTCTGGCCAAACATGACCATTTGTACATCTGATGTTCCTCCCACTCCTTCAACAAAGACATTCCAACCCACCACCGCTGCTCAAGGGCTCGGTGTGCTTGATGTGTTCTGAAAAAGAGAAAAGAAGAAACACCCACCAACATCAAAATCTGACCTGGCATTCACAGGTAGCCACACTATTCTGCTACTGGGTATGAACAATTGCACAGAGTAACAACCTCAGGCAAGGCTACTCTGAGATAATGATGCCCTGCATTTCAGCAAGAACACGTCATGGTTTTGGGCAAGCACTGGCAAAAACAAGATCCATCCACAGATTACCCAAGTCTCTTGTTTATAGTTTGCAAAAGCTGTTTCCTCAGGAAACTTTCCTTCTGTCCTATTGTGCCTCCCCCATAGGTAGGATTGATTGAGATACCAAGTATCAAAATTGTCTCCTGAGAGCATCTAATCTTGAGTAAATCTGGATTCCGTGAGATTTCTGAAGTCACCCAAGGACACCCTCTTCCTGAGACATTATGTACCCGATGGTGTGTGTTCCCCAGGCTGGGATGCATGAGGAGCTCAGCATGCACAGAGGACATGGGCTGCAGAGCACTGACTGTCCTGAGGGTTTACCACACCTCCTTCACTAATTGTCCCAGCAATGACAGGAGCTTCATATTAGTCATTCTGCATTGAATTTGTTTGTTTTCTGTGAAGATCATTCAAACAGTTCTAATTTCAAATGAGTTAAAGGGAACGCATAAAAGACCTCCTAGCCATCCATATCCATTTACCCTATCACTGGCCCCACTGCTGTCACTTCTGTAAAACCTGCAGAGATAATTTGTGACTATTTCACAAAACATATGCTAATGATTTTTATTCTGTTTTTCACTCAAAAGATAGCTTAACCCATGTACTGTTTATTTTGGACTTTGTGTCCTTGAAAATAGACCTTGGAGGAGTTTCCAAAACAATACATAACTTGCTCACTCCTGCTTTAGGATTTTTTTCTACATAATGAGAAGTCAAAGGCTCATTCAGAGACAAAAGTCACTTGTTCTATGATCATTCCCCTACACACACACATACACACACAAACACAACAGCATCAACAAAATGGGGGAGGTTGAATCCTAGGCTCTATGGACCCTATATTCTTCAGTAGCACGTATGCTGCATTAAAAAGTTGTTGTGGATGATTGATTTCCTTTCTGTCTCAAGCCATTCCTGTTCTGATCTCTCTCCCTTTATCATTTACCCACCACACCCCCTCACCTGCATTGAGCCCACACATACAGATGGCCAGCGCCACCCAGCCCACCAGATATCTCATCACCTCCAATGGCCTTCAGATGGTGTGCACCATACAAACCTCTCCTCTGACTTTATACTCTCCCTGTCTGCCCCTCCTACCCTAGCAGCTCTCCCATACTTACTGCACAGCCTTTTCTTCCTGGCCCTACATCTGACAGTCCTTAAAGAAACCAGTTGTGTCCATTTTAGAATGTTCTCCGGCTATAGTCTGCCAGTGTGATCCTGGACAAGCACCGTCACCCCTACCTTGGCATGTGTTAAAAACTCCAACCCTTGGGCCTCACCTTGCATCTGCAGAAATTCTGGGGAGTAGGGCAATCACCTCCCTTGTAATGGCCTCTGAGTGAATCCTATGTTCACTACAATTTGAAAATCAGAGTCCTACAGTGTGCCTAATACTTTCATATCTATTCCACATCATTTGCTACTTGATTATTTTTTTTTGCTTAAATTCTTTTATTGGTACATTTTAGGTATACAATATGTTTACATTTATCATTGAGTGCTTGTACCTGTACATGATGTATCTTGGTTCTTATTTTTTCCCCATTACCTGTGCGCCCTTCACCCCTCCACCCTTCCCTATTTACATAGACTTCGTTTCCATTTTTTTTTCTTTTCTCATAATTTTTCCTTTCCTTTCTTTCCTTTCCCCATCTCCTCCCACCAGCCTTACCCTTTTGAACCTTTTCCTATTTCAAAGTATCAATTATTAGTTATTAATCCTTTTAATCCTTATTTATACTCTCAGTTCTCACACTAGAGAAACTATTCGGTATTTACACGTGTGTCCTATTTATTTCACTTAAGAGTATGGCCTAATATGCATCCATTTGGCTATAAATGTCTCTAGTTTCCCATTGTTTATGGCTGAGTAGTACTCCATTTTATGAAAAAAAACCCCACATGGTCTTTATCCAGTTTCCAGTTGATGGGCACTTGAGCTGTTTCTAAGCTTTAGCTATTACAAACTGTGCCACTATAAACATGGGTGGACATATATCGCTGTGGTATGATTCTTTTAATTCTTTTGGGAAGATACCCAGCAGGGGAATAGGTAGGTCAAATGGAACCTCCAGTCCTAGTTCTTTGAGGAATCTCCACACTGATTTCCACAGTGGTTGCACCAGTCTGCACTCCCACCATCAATGGAGAAGGGTTCCTTTCTCTCCACACCCCTGCCAGCATTTGTTATTGGTTGATTTCTTGATAGCAGCCATTCTTTGTGGGGTGAGGTGGAATCTCAGTGTTGTTTTCATCTGTATCTCTTGAATGACCAGTGATGTTGAACATTTTTTCATATGTTTATTTGCTGCTTTTACTTCTTTGTGTGAGAAATGTCTGCTCATTTCAGGTGCCCATTTTTGAATTAGGTCTTTGAATTTGGGAGGTCTGATTTTTTTGAGTTCTTTATATATTCTAGATAGTAGCCCTTTGTCTGAGTTACAGCTGCTAAAATTTTTTCCCACATTGTAGGTTGTCTGTTGGCTCTGTTGGCGGTTTCTCTTGCAGTGGAGAAGCTTTTTGTTTTTTTCTTTTTTTGGTACCAGGGATCCAACTTGGGTCTTTGTGCTTTCACAGCAGGCGGCAAAACCACTGAGCTAAATCCCTGGCCCAGCAAAAGCTTTTTAATAAGATGAATTCCCAGTTGTTGATTCTTTCTGCTAGTTCCCATGCTATTGAGGTTTTGTTCATAAAGTCTTTTCCTATGTCAATATCTTCAAGAGTTCTACCTAACTTATCTTCCAGCAACTTTAGGGTTTCTGTCTTAATATTTAGGTCTTTAATCCACTTCGATCTTAGTTTAGTACATGGTGATAGATATGGGTCTAGTTTTAATCTCTGGCAGGTTGAAATCCAATTGATTATTTTTTAATTAAGTTTACTACTACATTTTAGGTATACATTATGATCACATGCATCATTTCAAATTTGTACCTATGTAGCTGGATACAGGGTCCACACTCAAAAATCAATAGCCTTCCTATATACAAACAACAGACTCACTGAGAGAGGAATTGGTTACTATTTCTTAAACCAGAATACAGTGAGAAAGGCAAAGTCAATATGAGCCTCCTGGATAAGAACATCTCAGAGATTCCAGGCATTTGCCTGTGGTCAGGCAGCCAACTGGAAAGAACAGATTGTAATCCAAGTTCCTATGTGTGTGCTTAGTTCATGCTACAATTATTTTCCCGTTTCACAATTTCTAGAGGGATCTAAAAAGGCACAAGAGGAGAGAGAGAGAAAGTGAGCATGCATGGGTAGGTGGGTGTCTCCAACACAGGCATCTCGAGTCTAATCCTTTCTATTCTTCCCCACTCGATAGTGAGTTCTTATATGCTAAGAGTCTTCCTAGGAAGTCTGGTATCTTCAGAGCAGCAGATAATGTGCAATCATTCACATGAAAAGCTGACTAATTACCAGTTATGAACCAAATCAGTCTTCATGTGCAGAATGAAAAGGAATACAGAACCTAAAGACAGGCCACATTTTGTTTCTGACATTTGCTAACCAAGTGACTATGGGGTTGTTTTCTGAACCTAAAATATTTGAGTCACATGTATCCAACTTGAGAGCCCAGTGTATACCTTCTTTTTATTTTTCTTTTTTGAGTTATTTTCCATAACATCAGAATTTTCAATACAGAACTATTATAATCCAGGATACACATTATTGTGGGGAAAGATCCATTTCCATATGTCTTATTCAGTAGGTAATATTTGTAGCAAGCAGTTAAGTTCTCCTTATTTACTGGGGGAGATTGCTCATCACAGATTTTTCATTTTTTATTTTGTTTCTTTGCTTTTTTCTTGCTATTTTGGTTGAACCCAATCTTTCCATGCTCTGAATTCTAGTCCCAAAGTCAATGGGCTGTTCTCTTCCTGAACTTCTATGGAAGGACTTATAAATATTTACCATCAGTGAGAAAAGTTCTAGAAATTCATCCCATGCTGCACACTAAAGCCATATCCAGGACACTGTGTGCAGGAGTCAGAACACTGTGCCCTCTGAGGGGCTAAGGAGGACACAGAAGAGAAGTCACTGTTTCTTTATTTCTCAACTGAATAGTAATTATGTCCCAAGGCACTTGGCTGTGTAAAAGTATTTTTCAGATCCGGAGTTTATATGAAGCAAACAGTATGGATGAGTAGAGACAGTCCTGAGAGACAAATCTTATCCAAACTCATAAACCTATCAAATAGTAGCAATGGATTTGCATACCAGAGCTTCCCTATGAATACCAATAACAGGTCAAGAAAAATAATCACTGATTCTGACAGAGAAGGGATCAAGCAAGGGCTCAATTCTCATCTTCTGCAAGAGGGAAGGGATATGGCTCTGGGTTTGCATTAGTACATCTACTAGCAATGCCAGTTCTCAAGCTGGTGAAAGGTAGATATACATTGACATCAGACAGTGTAACATTCAAATCTTAAGTTTCTGATTTATTGGTGGGGATTTTATCTAAGTGACCCACACTCTATTCATGTCAAGGGTTGTTTAATATAATGTTTCATAGATTCACAGCCCAAGAAGCATTGTGGGTGTTCAATCTTCATGAGTTGCTGTTGCTTTTAAGAGTTGGATATTTTTGAGACACATAAATCTTCCAGGAACCCTGTTCATTACTTAGCAATGTCAATCATTACAAAGTACCAAAGACCAGAGCTGACTAACACATCAGTCCTTATGCACAAGAAGGTACTGCCCCACCATTCCCAAACATCTGAAACACAATCCTATTTCAGCATTTCTCTCTGTCAGAAACTCTATTCCTCAAAGATATCAGGCGGGATTCCTTCCTTCAGATCTCAAACAATCTTTGTCACCTGCTCAGAAGGGCCATTCTTCTTCATTGTCTCTAAAACTGCATCACTCATAACTCCATTTTTTCTTTTTACCATAATCTGATATTTCCTGCAGAAATTTTCCCTGCCTGTTGTCACACGCCACACTTATATCTGTATCCACATGCCTATGGGCAACAAATGGCACACGCTCAGCAATCATTTGTTGAGTGAAGAGACCATACCTGCCTCATAGATTTGGTGTCATGACTTTGTGACATAGCATGGGTAAAGAATTAGGCTCAAATGTGGCACCTGCTGAGCAATGATAAAAGTGGCCGCTGTTGTTCATGAGACCAGTGGCCATGACTTGCTGTGTAGTCACTATAAGTCATTCCTGATGTTCTTGCCTGAAAAAGAGTACATGAGATTGATCTCTGAAATCCTTTCTAACCTCAGTAACTGTGTGATTTCATGAGTTAGTACTTTTCATTGGTACTTCTCATTCTGACAAGATGAGAGCCAATTTTAGGCTTTGTTGGATGCAACACCTGTGGTGTTCAGTTAACTATCCCTGGTACATTGCTAAGGGTGTAGGGGGCCACTGCCGTATTTGATACTGATGTCCTCATGTTCACTGCTATTGTGAGACACTACCAGTAGCTCACTGAATAAATAGTTATCAAATATACATGCTTGGGGATGAAGTCTGTTTGATGGAAAATACCGAGAATCCTCAAGTTTGATGAATTTGGATTTAATTCTCACTTCGGCCACTGAGCAAAATCATCATCCTAAGTGACTGGTAATGTTAGGAATCCTGTCCCTGTGTCCATCTGTCTGGATTCAGTGCCTCATTTTTCTGCTTACTGTGTGATTTAAAGAGCTTTGAACCTCATATTTTTCTGTGGAATAATGGAGCTAAGAACAGCACCTTCCCCATTAAATTGTCATGTTTTATGGGCTTATGAAAAGCAGTTAAAACAACCCCTGGAACACAATAAGTTCTGCAGAAATGTTTTATATAATCACTGTTACCACTCTGCTACTATCAGTACAAGTAATAATAATAAAATTATTTTAAAATGATTATTCTACTTTATAATTGAACACCCAAACTTGATAAGGAAGCGATAGTATGAAACCTATTTATGAAAGGAAAAACCAAGGCTTCCAGCTGTTGTAGAAAGGATTTTTCCCAGAAACAAATCATTCTCAAGTTAATTTAAAGGTTAAGAAATGAATTGGGCATGACAGCAAAAGCCTGTAATCCCAGGATTCTGGTAGACTGGAGCAGGAGGATTGCAAGTTTGATCCCAGTTTGGGCAATTTAGCAACTTACTGAAACTGGGTCTCAAAAAACAAATAAAAGCATAAGGGATGGGATATAGCTCAGGGCAAAGGCCCTGGGTGCAATCCCCAGTACCACAAAGAAAGTTTACAAATTATATTCCACCATTTCTGTCAATCTTATGGACATTCCAGCGTGTTTGTGAAATTACGTGCTTTTAAACAGTTTGATTATTTGAAATACAATATCCAAAAATATTTGATGCTTCCAAATGCTAGATTAATTTGTTACCTTAGGAAACATAAAACTACAATGTGACCTGAAAGTCAAAGAAATGCAAAATGCTGGATGTGAAAAAACAAAGTCCAATTTGTCTAGGAGTAGCCGCTGGTAAAGTGTAGGGCGGAGAGCCACACCCTGAATTATTCGATTCCAACATGTTCTAAGTCACCGTGCCACATGAGCTCTTTGCACGGAGCTCAGGGGGTTCATGACTTCCTTATACACTGTCGGCATGTGGACTCTGTCATTCAGAGAGCTTTTACTTCATTTTGTACAGGAAGAGCAAATGGTGCTGGACTCAAACCTGACCCCTAGAGGAATTCTCCAGAAGAGCATGTAATAACAGTCACCCAGTTCTTCAGCGTTCTCTCTTCTGCCTTCATCCATTATAGCTGAGAGCTAGGCTGGATAAAAAATTGTCAACTCACATATTTTTATATGAGTATTTTATAGCATTTGCTCCACTGTTTACTGTCAATGAACATTGTTGTTGAGACACGGGAAGCCTGTCTGATAAATTCCTCTTGTAGCTAAATATTTGTCAACAGATGAATGAAGTGAGGTACATATACACAATGAAATACTATTCATTCATAAAAAGCAGAAAGTACTTTCATTGAGAGCTACGTAAATAGACCTGGAGTAATCATGGAGCAATCCATGTAAAATAAGCCACAAAAGTTTAGGGAGTTTTTTGGTGTGATTTTTTGGGTCTTCTATGTAAAGGCTCATGTCATCTACAAATAAGGATAGAATGAGTTCTTCCCTTCCTATACATATCCCATTTATTTCTTCCTCTTGCCTGATTGCTCTGGTTAATGAGTACTGTAAAATAGAAGCAACATTCTTCCCAGAACTAGAAAAAATAATCCTAAAATTTGTATGGAACAAGAAGAGACCCACAATAGCAGAAACAATTCTGGGCAACAAGAGCAAAGCAGAAGGCATCACAATCCTGGGTTTCAAGTTATGTTACAAACCTACGGTGATTTAAAAAAACAGCACGGTGCTGGTACAAATATACACATGAAGATCAACAGAGCAAAAGAGAGGCTAGAGAAACAACCCCATGCATATTCAGCCATCTGATCTTTGACAAAGAGGCCAATATGCTGGAGAAAAAATAGCCTCTTTAACCCTGGGTACTGGCAAAACTGATTATCTACATGCAGAAAAATGAATCCAGTCTGGTATCTCTCATACTGTACTAAAATAAAATCAAAATGAATCAAAGACCTAGATATTGAAACAGAAAATTTTAATCTCCTGGAAGATAAAATAAAGAAAACACTTAAAGATACAAGCATAGGATAAACTATGGAAACAGTCTATATGTCCATCTACAGATGAATGTATAAAAAATGTGACATATATACACAATGGAGTACGACTGATCCATAAAAAACAAATTTGAGTCATTTGTGGGTAAATGAATGGAGCTTGAGGTCATAATGCTAAGTGAAAGAAATCAGACACAGAAGGTCAAATGTCACATGGTTTCTCTTATTTGAAAAATCCAAAGTATAAATAATTTAAAGAGCAAAATAAAAGATGAATGATGGAAAACAGGGAGGTAGACATTGTTCAGATATGAAGGGGCTATATGGATGAAGGGATGGGAAGGACTAAGAAAAACTAAAAAAGATTAAGGTATATAAGTATCTATTTCCCATGATGAATATATTGCAAATATGTGCCAAGAAGGAAAGGAAGGAAGGAAGGAACGAAGGGAGAGAGAAAGAAAGAAAGAGAGAGAAAGAGAGAAGGAAAATTTAGAAAATTTTAATTCCATAGTAATGGTGGGTGACTATAGTTAGTGCAATGTATATCTCAAAAGAGTTAGAGGAGAGGATTTTGCATAACTCACTCTTTTGTTAGGGTGGTTAAAGAAACTTTGATGTTTCCTGTTACACAGTTTTACTTGTACATGATTGAGCATTGACTATTTGGGAGTCCATATCCCCACCTACAGTGTATATCCTACAGAAATATATATGTCAATTTAAGATGCCTTTTAATTTAGGAGAGTTTTCTTTATTTGTAACATGGTAGTAATTCCTAGAAAATGTATCTATTTTTAGGCCCACTCTTCTTTGGTTGTTTCTATACATATTTTTTTGCTGAAATTATTTTTATTTTTCACCATTCTTGTGTCATTTTCCCCATTATGTTTTTATTCTTCTGTTTGATTTCTATGGTTTTGATATTATTTTCGCTGGGATTCCTTTGAAGTTGATCTTCCTTTATGATCACTTTTCCGGTCTTTTCTAGCTTTAGCCCTGCAGGTTTCTAATTCATATCCCACTGTCAGGAAGTCTGATATATGTGGGGGTAATTAAAGCTCTTTGTAGGAATAATGTTTGTGGGTTCTCTCAATCCTAGGATCAAATTACTCAGGTAGAGGTAAGTACAGAACTAAGACAGAGGCAGAAAGAGACAGGGAAAATAAATGTTACATAACTGATAGGTCATTTTTTAATTTTAGGCAAGCTGAATTATTGAACTACCCACTTAGATAAGGAAAAGTTTGTGTTGCTGTGTTTGATTTCAGCTAAGGTAAATGCCATAGAAGATCCTATGAAAAAAATTAAATAAAACAAGATGTTCTGCCAGCTCTTACTTCTCTGTTTGGGATCCCAGATGTAGTAAATGAGTTAAGTGGAGCCTGAAGTCACTGTGAATAAGAACTTCTGCTCGTACTCTACAACAACACAAGACCGGCATATGTAACTACAGGAATCCCATGGCTTCAGTGTGACTAACACCAAAGAATATTAGAAAGTTCTCATAACAGGAAAAATCATTGCTAATTTAAAATGGAGCTAAATCCTCAAAGGGGAGAAAAATCATGTAAGGAAGAGAAGAAAGGATTAAAAGTCCTAAGATTGATGACTATCATCCATAGAGGACAAAATCCACTGAAAGTGAAAAAACACTGAGGAGGGAAGTGGGTCCCTGGGACCCAGGAAGTTCCTGAGGCAACAACTAAAGTCCACGGAGAGAGTGAAAAGAGAGAGTTTGATGAAGAAAAGGGCTGGGGATTTAGCTCAGTGTTGCAGGTGCCAAGTTCAAGCCAGCAGGAGGTCAGGGAGCAGAGTTCAAGCCAGCAGGAGACACATAAACTGTGGTAGGCTCAAAGAACCCAGTTCCAGCCTCATAACCACAAACCAAGCTGAGCTTAAGAGGAACTAGAGGGGCAGGCTGGCTGGGATTATCCACTACCCCACTGTGAAGCTGCAGCTAGCTTGCTGGGATTAATCAATTTGGCTCTGGACTCTGTTTGCCCACATTGCCTAACAGTGACAGCAGAGACACACCTTAAACTGGACAGTCTGGGGGTTTTTATCTTTGTTTTTTCTTTTCTCTCTCCTTTTTTCTGGCTTTCTAGTTCTTGTTTTTTTTTTTTTTCTTGATTGAGCACAGTTTCTAGTATTTTGCTGTTCTGTACTTTTCTTTTTATTTTTTTTTCTCTTTCTCACCTGTCTTCACCAGTTTGCAAAAGTTTGTCCTCCAGCTTTGCTTCTGACTTTTTCTTCTTCTATGTCTGTTTTCTACCCTCTAACCCCTTTTAAATCTTCTCCCAGAAGGGTAAAAAAGCCATATTAAGGGCAACCACTTGTCATTTTCTAGGCTGTATTTAATGCAATTGTTATTGTTGATTGTACTACTTTATCCAAGGTGACATAATTGTGATAATCAGCTGTTCCTCCTGGTATACCAAGACTGAGATTGCCTGAGGGTCTTAAAATAAACCCTACAGGCCAGTGCCAAAGAACTGGCAGCTGGGCCAAGTATGCAGAAACTTCTCAACCCAATAAACTGAAGAGGTAGGATCCTGCAAACAGACTCAAAACCCAAAAGCTACACCTGGAAGATGTTTCTGAGAAGTAGTCATTTCCTAAGGGTTCTGAATATTGGCAATAAAGCTACTTGTCATAAGCAATTTACAAGGATCAAGTCAGGAATCAACCTTTTAAAAAAATAGAAAATGAGAAAACACTTAAACAAGGTGCAACCCCCACAGATTTTCAGTTCCCAAAGGTAAACTCCAAGGGCAATGAAGTGGAACAATCCAAAAGCCACCCACCAGGACTCTCTGAAGTGGTAACAGTAGAAGTAACAAAGAAGAGGAACATGAACAAGGCTCTAGAAAAATATCAAAGCAGAAATAATTTCCCAGATAATTACAGAGATGTTGACCAGAATGAAAGATACAAATAAAAAAAAGAGGAGCTCAGGAATGTGATGGAAGCCATGAACACTCAGCATAGGAAAGAAATGGAATCCATGAACCAGATTCAAACAGATATTCAGGACATTAAAAACTCCATTGAAGGTGTATGTAGCAGAATGAGCCAATGTGAGGACAGAATACCAGATATAGAAGATAGGATTGTGGTTAGTGATCAGGAAAAGGCAAATTTCTCAAAAATAGTAAGGGACTATGAGAAATCAATCCAGCAGCCGCTAGACGATGCAAAGAAGAATAACATAAGATTGATTGGAGTCAATGAAAAAGCAAGAGATAGCGCAAATGACATAAAGAAACTGTTCTCAGAAGTAATGGCAGAAAACGTCCCAAACAGGGAAAAAGTATTTGACAGAGAGATAAGTGAGAGATATAGGACTCAAATTAGCCATGATAAAAAAAAATCTTCCCCAAGGCATATAATAGTCAAGATTCCAGAAAGCCAACACAAGGACAGAATATTAAAAGCTGTTAGAGAAAAGAAACAAATCAAGTATAAAGAAAAGCCCATCAGAATCACAGCAGTCTTCTTAATACAAACTCTCAAGTCAAGGAGAGCTTTCAGGGAAGTATTTCAAGCTCTAAAGGAAAACAACCTCCAACCCAGATTGATGTACCCTGCAAAACTATCCTTCAAAATTGATGGAGAAAAAAGATACTTCTATGATAAAGAACACATGAAGAAATTCATGACCACCAAAACAGCACTCCAAAGTGTTCTGAAGGATATTCTAGAAAAAGACAAGAAGGATTACAACTCCATGAACCCCAACAGAATGAATTCACCAGGCAAGGCAAGAAATTAAACAGCAAAAGGAAAGAATGAAGCCAACAGCAGAAAAATAACATATCAGAGATAAGACAATACATATCAATTATAACCATCAATATTAATGCTCTCAGTTCACCAATCAAAAGAAACAGACTGGCAGAATGGATACAGAAGCAAGATCTAACAATATGCTGCATACAAGAAACATATTTA